TAAGTCAGATCTGACTCGACAGCAGTGAGTTTGGTTTTTTGTTTTTTTCCTTTTCTGCAAAAACAGACTACTGAAATTTATATAGGGAGTGCATTCAATCTGCAGATCACTTTGGGTAATCTTGATATCTTAACAGTATTAAGACTTCTAATCCATGATCCTGAGATGTGTGATGCTGTAAATTATTTAGTATGGCTCTTCTAGCCATGGTTTGTATGACTCCCATCAGATGACTGGGTGAGATTGTGCAAATATAAGGTGCTGGTGGTCCACCAAGGGGATTGGATAGCTTGTTAAAAGTGTAAATAGGTGTATGGCACCCTTGTGGGGGAAGGACCATGGAAATAAGGTGTATGGAACCTTAATGTGGGAATTGGTCAGTTTTGCTATCTTACTAGACTTAAAATGAACCATCCCAGAGATAGAAAAGGGGGATGTTTTAGTTACCTCTGTGCTACACTAACAGAAAATGCCACAAATGGAATGGCTTTAACAAACAGGAGTTTATTCTTACAACTTTAAGTCTGACTTCAAAGTGCCAGGCTCTAGGGGCTGGGTGAAAGTCCCTCAATGTTGGGCTTCATCTCTGCCTCCTGCTCCCAGCCCACTGAAGGTAGAGGCTTTTCTTCACTCAGCTGCTGGCTGCTGAGGCTGACAAACTCAAGGTTGACAAATGAAAAGGCACAGTCCCGATATTACCAAACCATACAGCAGGTCATTAATTCAAGTCTGTTAAAAGTCCCAAGATGGCCAAAGAATGGCAGGCTGCTGAACAATGACTTGGCTACATGCAGGGTTCAAGCGTGCCATAAGCTGGAGACTATTCCCAAAGCTGCTTCTTATATATGGGAAGCAGACCACATCCCTATTGCAGCTACTCAAATGCTTGTGGTAGATCCCACCAGGGAGATGATTGCCAGTCTTGTCATGGGGAATAACTACCACCAGCTGCCCAGCCACTCAACCAGGCCCAGCCAAGTTGATACACAAACATAACTACCACAGGGGATCTCACCACCATCAAGATGATGAAGAAACCAGGAGTGAAGTACATCCTTTGGCCCCCAGATCCCTAAGATGGATCTCCTTGGCAGGGAGACAGCAGAGAAACTGCAGACATAATGGCAGCAGAACCAAGGGACTAGGATGACACAAAGCAGTGGGCTTGCTGGCCCACAGAGTGAGAAGTTGAGTGCCTCTGGGCAGGAGGCTTGCTCCAATAGGGCAGAAGCCAGCCTGGGAGATCAAGAGCCAGAGAGAGGCATGCCTACAGGCATGGTTCAGGGGAGGTTGTCATGATGGAAGAATTGTATATGGAGCATTACTGAACCTGAATTGTACCTATTGCTTATGTAATAAACCCCATAATTATGAGCACTGTCTGTGAGTACTATATGGCCATTGCAATGAATTATTGAACCAGCCACTCCTTGGAAGGAAGATGGGGCAATCTACTTCTGTAGTGATACTGCCTTGGAAACCCAAGGAGGGGTCACTATGAGTAGGATTCGACTCGACAGCACGTAACAACAACAACAACAAACAGAGATAGA